GGGGCCTCACAGTCAGTCAGCTGGGCTGAGACCTCCACGCACCCCCACCCCTTACCTCTGGAAACTGGGTCACTCTGGAGTCTCACCTGCGAGCCTTGTCGGGCACAACACCACGGATTCTAATCACGTTGCCCACTCTGACGCCCTCGGGCAGCGAGGTCTTGTGTGGCACGTTCTGCAAGAGTCCGAATGGGAGGGGATGAGGGAACCAAGGGACCAAGGGGTGAGACAGGTGGGCCACCCCAGGGAGAAAACCACCAGCACCCAGACCAGCACCATCAGAGGAGAAAGGCACAGAGAAGCAGTCAGACCCAGGGCAGGAGTTGTGAAGGGAAGCACTGAGGATGAACAGAAAAGCGTTCAGGCAGACAAGCCAAGGGGACATGGAGCATCGGGATGGGGTGGGTGGGTCCACGCAAAAGGCAGCCCGGGCACTTCACAGCACAGCTGACACCCACGTTCTCCTCCGGGACAGGAGACTTCAGCCAGGCTCCAGCCCCTCCCCCAGGCTGGGGCAACCTTGGGCCCAAGGCCCCCCAACCCTCAGATGCTAGGACACTCACGGAGCTCCCTGCCATGGCTGGATGGTGGGACAGGCAATGGTGGTGTCAGGTATGGCTGCTGGGACCTTAAGTTGAAAGCGGGTGTGGCTGGGCCTGGTGACTCACCCGTCTTTGCAAATCCACCACCCACACCTGGCACAGACCCTGGCCCTGGGGCCAGGGTGGCCCAGCTCCCTCTTCCTGGCGCCTCTCCCCCTTCCCTCCATCCAGGCCCATTTCCAGCCTCCATAGCCCGACACTAGAGAGAGCCAGGCTAGGACGGGTGGGGTGGGGTGGGGAGTGCGGAAAGGTGGCCCTGAAGTCCAGGCATAGGAAGGGGGGAGAGGGGGGGACTAGGCAGAAACCCCTCCTACAGCCTAGCAGCCCTCCTCTGCGCCTTCACCCCTCGCAGGGAAGAGGCTGCTCCAGAACGGAGAATGGAAACTTTGGGTGGAAACCAGACTCGGCACCTGGCCCACACCTGCCCCCACTCTCCCCAGGCCTCCCCGCCCCCTCACCACAACCACCCAGGAGTCACCCAGGTGCTGGTGGAGCACGTACTTTGGGGACAGAGGATGGGCAATTGCACTTAGGTGGAGGCGCCAAGCTCCCCGTTCGGTGGTGGTGGTGGAGAAAGCGCAGGCTTGGGGATTAGGTGTGGGGGGGGGCAGCCTCTCGGGAGTGGGAAGGGCCCTCCCTGCCTGAGCTGGAGTCCAGGCTGTGCCATGGGCAGGTCATCAGACTTTAAACATCGAGGACAGTGGGTTTGAGGCTAGGGCACCAACTGTTGGAGGTGGAGAGCCCCAGTGATGGACTCCATGGCTCTCACCAACGAGGTGGCCATGTCTTGTCCCAGTCTGTGCTACTGTATCCCAATGACACACCCTCTCCCAGGTGCCTCATGTGGGTGCCCACTCCTCCACAGGCTGCCGACCTGCAGGTCCCAGCTTGACCCTGGCGTTGGGCCAGATGAGTTCAGTCTGCTATCAGCTTGGTTTCTGCTTTATTTCTGATGGCTCAGATGTGTGCGCCCTGCATGATCCTTATTCATTGGTGGAGGCCATCTTCACATCAGGGCTGGGGATACATTTTCATTTCAGGGTGTTTAGTGCACAGGGAGACCACAGGGCTGCTTCGGTTTGTAAATACCTCACCAGCCACAGCAAAGCATTTCCTGTCTGGTTCTCTCCATACCCGGTCCCTGGAGTAGTCACAGCCACAAGCCGAAAGCAAAACGGTGTCTGCCACGGCCTGGGACAGTGGGGAGCTGTTAGTGGTGCAGAGCTGAGCTGGGAGAGGCAAACCAGCTGGAGATGCTCGGTGGGATGGGTGCAGAACAATAGGAAAGTACTGAATCGCACAGAGCGAGCCTTAGCCCATTCAAACATGGTTACAAGGTGAATATTCTGTTACTTATATTTTAGCACAATAAAAACTATTTTAAAAAGACTTTGGCCCCACCCCCAAGGAAAGACCAATTCATAAATCATTAGCTCAGAAGTATTCCTCTAATTCCACCGCAAGTTCACATACTCATGGGCTTTCCCCTTTTCCAGTCTGTAACCCTCCAATGAGTGGTCTGCAATCCTGACACCCACTCAGCGGTTCTCCCAGGGAACCCCCTCCTGGCCTTGCTGGGTGAAGTACCTTTCAGTGGGTCCCACCCCTGAACAGACACCACTTCCCTGCTCAGGGCTGGGCACCCCCTCTCCTGCTTCCTCCTTTTCCCCAACCCCCCTGCTCCTCTGACACCCCGGCTGGATGCAGCCCCAGGGAGAAGGTGGCCCCTCAGCCCACTCCGGCCCCATGGCCTCCACCCCAAGGAGGCAGCCATGCTCACCCACTTGCAGGCTGTAGGACCCAAGAATCCAGCAGAGGAAGGAAAGGAAGAGGAGGAACAACAGGTATTCCCAACCACAGCATGAAACTTACAAGAATTCATTATGACTTGGAGACTTTTTTGGACAATGTAAATACTTCAGATTTAATCTAAAGCAAAATTCCCATGCAGCCTAAAATACTGTATGTTAAGAGAGTATAACAAAATAAGTCTATCAGCCGAAACCGGTTTGGATAGGTGGATAGAGCGTCGGCCTGCGGACTCAAGGGTCCCAGGTTCAATTCCGGGCCTGGCTGCTCTAGGTCTGGATGCTCCGGGCCTGGCTGCTCCGGGGAGGTAGGCCTCTTTTTATCCTCATCTTACAATGAGAAAACTGAGGGATAGGAAGTTGGAGTAACTTCTCTGAGAAAGTGGAAGAGTTTGGATTTGAAGCAAGGCATTTGATTTCCAAAGCCCAGACTCTTCACTGCTATCCACTCGGGACAATTCTTATCGTTCTCCCCTGTTCCTTCACAGAGTTGGTTCATTCTCATCATCCCCCCACCACCCTGGCTCATCTCATTGTCCTCTGTTCCTTCCCCAAGTTCTTTTTCCCTTTGCTTTTCCAGAGCAGTCTAACATTTAATGCCTGACAAGGCAGCTTTCCTAACAAACTTCACCCCCTCTGACCATGTGCTGACCCCATGGCACCTGTGGACAACACTTTGTAATGTTATCACACTGGGCTTACATATTACCTTGAATTCCAACACTTTTATCATTCAAAGGTCACATGTATGTAGGGCAGCCCAGCCATTCTGGGGTGGAGCTAAGAGCCCAGAAGAAAAGGGAGAAAAATGTAGCCCCCAAATAGGTTGTCAATGTTAATGGGCTGAATCTCTTTGGTCGTACACATAAGCCATACTGCCTACTGAGCTTAAGGAACAATTATTTACAGGAACTGGCAGACAATGGCCCACCACTTCTTTGTCATAAAGTTTTTTTTAGAACTCGGCCATACCCATTCACTTATATCGTCTACGACTGCTCTTACACCAATAGTACAGTTGAATAGCTGTGAGAGGGACTGTCTGGCCCTTAAAGCCTAAAATATTCATGATCTGATTCGTTGTACAGGAAAAAAATTGTCAGTCGCTGATTTAGAAAATTATCTGTTAGAAGAAAGTTCAACATTAAATTACAGCTTAAGTGGATGAAAACAGAACAAAACAGGGTCCCAGGTTTGATTCTGGTCAAGGGCATGTACTTGGTTGCAGGCACATCCCCAGTAGGGGGTGTGCAGGAAGCGGCTGATTGATGTTTCTCTCTCATCGATGTTTCTAACTCTATCTCTCTCCCTTCCTCTCTGTAAAAAATAAGTCTATCAAACAAACACACAACAGAAAAGGGTTACTCGGCATTGGTACAGCTTCCTATATTTATAAATAGAACTTAAGGGTTCCTTATTTTTTTAAAAGAAAAGCACATCAGATTTTAGAATATTGGTGTGTTTTTAATTTTGAAGTTCATTTACGAACCGAAGCAGCCCTGTGGTCTCCCTGTGCACTAAACACCCTGAAATGAAAATGTATCCCCAGCCCTGATGTGAAGATGGCCTCCACCAATGAATAAGGATCATGCAGGGCGCACACATCTGAGCCATCAGAAATAAAGCAGAAACCAAGCTGATAGCAGACTGAACTCATCTGGCCCAACGCCAGGGTCAAGCTGGGACCTGCAGGTCGGCAGCCTGTGGAGGAGTGGGCACCCACATGAGGCACCTGGGAGAGGGTGTGTCATTGGGATACAGTAGCACAGACTGGGACAAGACATGGCCACCTCGTTGGTGAGAGCCATGGAGTCCATCACTGGGGCTCTCCACCTCCAACAGTTGGTGCCCTAGCCTCAAACCCACTGTCCTCGATGTTTAAAGTCTGATGACCTGCCCATGGCACAGCCTGGACTCCAGCTCAGGCAGGGAGGGCCCTTCCCACTCCCGAGAGGCTGCCCCCCCCCACACCTAATCCCCAAGCCTGCGCTTTCTCCACCACCACCACCGAACGGGGAGCTTGGCGCCTCCACCTAAGTGCAATTGCCCATCCTCTGTCCCCAAAGTACGTGCTCCACCAGCACCTGGGTGACTCCTGGGTGGTTGTGGTGAGGGGGCGGGGAGGCCTGGGGAGAGTGGGGGCAGGTGTGGGCCAGGTGCCGAGTCTGGTTTCCACCCAAAGTTTCCATTCTCCGTTCTGGAGCAGCCTCTTCCCTGCGAGGGGTGAAGGCGCAGAGGAGGGCTGCTAGGCTGTAGGAGGGGTTTCTGCCTAGTCCCCCCCTCTCCCCCCTTCCTATGCCTGGACTTCAGGGCCACCTTTCCGCACTCCCCACCCCACCCCACCCGTCCTAGCCTGGCTCTCTCTAGTGTCGGGCTATGGAGGCTGGAAATGGGCCTGGATGGAGGGAAGGGGGAGAGGCGCCAGGAAGAGGGAGCTGGGCCACCCTGGCCCCAGGGCCAGGGTCTGTGCCAGGTGTGGGTGGTGGATTTGCAAAGACGGGTGAGTCACCAGGCCCAGCCACACCCGCTTTCAACTTAAGGTCCCAGCAGCCATACCTGACACCACCATTGCCTGTCCCACCATCCAGCCATGGCAGGGAGCTCCGTGAGTGTCCTAGCATCTGAGGGTTGGGGGGCCTTGGGCCCAAGGTTGCCCCAGCCTGGGGGAGGGGCTGGAGCCTGGCTGAAGTCTCCTGTCCCGGAGGAGAACGTGGGTGTCAGCTGTGCTGTGAAGTGCCCGGGCTGCCTTTTGCGTGGACCCACCCACCCCATCCCGATGCTCCATGTCCCCTTGGCTTGTCTGCCTGAACGCTTTTCTGTTCATCCTCAGTGCTTCCCTTCACAACTCCTGCCCTGGGTCTGACTGCTTCTCTGTGCCTTTCTCCTCTGATGGTGCTGGTCTGGGTGCTGGTGGTTTTCTCCCTGGGGTGGCCCACCTGTCTCACCCCTTGGTCCCTTGGTTCCCTCATCCCCTCCCATTCGGACTCTTGCAGAACGTGCCACACAAGACCTCGCTGCCCGAGGGCGTCAGAGTGGGCAACGTGATTAGAATCCGTGGTGTTGTGCCCGACAAGGCTCGCAGGTGAGACTCCAGAGTGACCCAGTTTCCAGAGGTAAGGGGTGGGGGTGCGTGGAGGTCTCAGCCCAGCTGACTGACTGTGAGGCCCCAGAGGAGAGGGCCCCAGAGCCACCTTTGCCCACCAGGGTTTGTAATCCCCAGGCCATTGCCAACCTTTTGAAACCTGGTGTTCCCACAAATGTGTCCGCTGATTTGGGAGCTGGGTCCCTAAGAATCTGTGGGTTCCAAGACCATTTCAGGTTTCCTGCCTACAGTTCTAGGACTTCCAAAAGGAGTCACTAGGGACTCTGGAATTTGTGATTTGTGATTTGACGCGACCTGGGCATCTGAGAGCCTGAGCGATCAATGTATGTCTTCCTGGGTGTGGGAACGCCAGGCTTCCTGGGACCCAGGGTGCCTGCGACTCCTGGGTCCCTGGTAGCCTTCGCGGCCCCCTGGCAACTGGGGACATGCTGGGAGTCTGAGCACCTGGCCATCAGCATCACGACTCCTTGCCAACAGCCTCCCAGACTCTGGGGGAAGGAGGGCAGCGCAGGCACAGCCTAGCCATCCTTGCTGGTGATGTGTGTGCAGTAAGGGTCTGGCCTGCCTGCCTCGGGCTTCCCTGCTCCAGTCCACAGCGCTCCCTCTGTGGGTGTGACAGACTCAGGTCCCCGCAAACCGGGGTTTGTTCCGTGGTGAGTCTTAACTCACTGGCCTGGCCTTGGTCTGGGTGCTTCATGGCTGGTGACATCTACCCCTCCCCCCCCTTCCCCAGGTTTCACGTGAACCTGCTGTGTGGGGAGGAGGAGGGCGCCGAGGCTGCGCTGCACTTCAACCCCCGGATGGACGAGTCCACGGTGGTCTTCAACACCAAGGAGCGCGGGGGCTGGGGCCAGGAGGAGCGCGGCCGCGGCCTCCCCTTCCAGCGTGGGCAGCCCTTCGAGGTGCTCCTCATCGCCACGGAGGAGGGGTTCAAGGTGTGTCCCTGCCGCGGGGTGGCGCCGGGACCCACATCCCTCCTGCGGGTGGGGCAGGCCCGCAAGGCCGTGGCGTTGGGGGCAGCAAAGGCTGGGCAGAGCTGGCAGCCGTCCCTGTCCCTGTCCCTCCGCGGTGCCAGCTCCCGGCGCCAGCGGGACAGGGTGTGCGGGGCGGGGCAAAGCGAGCCAGAAGGCGGTGGCCGGCGCGGGAGGGCGGGGAGCCCGGCCCTGAGCCTGCGCCTGCGCCTCCGCCCCGCAGGCCGTGGCGGGCGACGAGGAGCTCCACCTCTTCCGCTACCGCATCCCGCCGGCGCGCGTGCGGCTGCTGGAGGTGGGCGGCGACCTGGAGCTGCAGTCGGCGAGGGTCTTCTGAGCCGGCCCGGCCCGGAGGCAATAAAGTCTGAGCCCGCTGGGCGCCCGCACCGCGTGTCCGCGTCTCCTTCCGGGCGGGCGGGCGGGCGGGGCGGCTCCGCGAGGCGGTGCCTCTGGTCGCCGGGCGGCTCCGGGCTGCGGGCGGCTCGCGGGTCTGCCCGGTACTGAGGAAAGCCACGCGCCCGGTCCCTGAATACGGGCCGGGGAGACGGTTGGTGGAGCTATCAGCCCCGCCCCACCCTCCGGCGCCGCCTCTCGGTGCTTCCCGGCCTCTGGGCGCTGGAGGCACTGGGCGGGGCGGGCGGGAGGCAGGGGCGTCGCCGCCTCGGATCGGGACGATCCCCACCCGCGAGCGCCGCGGGGAAGACGCGTCCTGAGCGGCGGTGCCCCCGCAGGGGCGGGGACGCACCGGGCGGAGCTCCGGGTCCTGGGCTGGGGGGCGGCGCCTCAGGCCCACATTTCTCCCTCGGCTCCCGCCCGCGGCTCTGCAGGGGAAAGGGAGCGTTTGCCCCGCCCACCCCAGACCGCAGGGGGGTGATTATGTGGTGTGTGGTGTGGGAAAGGGCGAAGGGGAGGAGGCTAAGGGAGGGGAGGGGCGTTGGGTAACCACCAAATGGCCTTTAGCGTGGGGGTAGCCGGCACCACGCAGCGCCCTGGGGCCCCCGACCGCCCAGAGGCTGGGATGGGCTGTGGATGGAACCGGCCGGTGGCGGGGTGCGAGGGTGGGGAATCTGGGAGCCTTGGGAAGCTGGCGACTTATCCCCATGGACATTACAATCTTTTTGTTTATTTGTATTTTTATTGATTTCAGAGAGGAAAGGAGAGTGAGAGAGAGAGGGAGACATCAATGATAACAGAATCATTGAATGGCTGCCTGGTCCCCTACTGGGAATAGAGTCCCCAATCCCGGGCAGGAGCCCTGACCAGAATGGAACCCGGAACCTTCATTCCGCAGGCTGAGGCTCTATCCACTGAGCAAACCGGCCAGGGCCATCTTAGTCATCTGCAGGAGCCTGTTTTACCTGGGTTTCCCTGCGGAGGAGGGCAAATCCTGTGCGACCCCAAGCCAGCGGCTGGAGCCCTGCTAGGACCGGAACTTTTTACGCACTTTGCGAGCCTCCACCTGCATCGCCTCCCTTCTGAGTATGTTTCTGGGCGGGCCGTTGGATTGAGGGTCCCCTGGTTCCATAGGAAACCTGGAAAGTCTGGCATTCACTAGTACTCAGGAATCATAGTTACATGGATTAATTTTAGTTTATGTCATGTAGTTTTTGAACATTGAAATAAATTTGTAAAAGTAACATCCATATGGTACAAATTTCAGATAGTGATTAGGTAGTGACCTCTGTGTTAATTTCCCATTTTTCACCGCTGTTTTACTATGTATATATAGTGCAGAATATTATTATTTTTCTTTTGAGTTGTTAGCCCTTTATTAGCAATTAAAATAGAAGGTATCTAGTGCACAACAAGGTAGTAATCCTACCTAATGAAATATGCAAATTAACCATCACTGCTACACTCACAAGCCACGCCCACCAGCCAATCAGAGCGAGTATGTAAATAAACCTATCTAAGATAGCTACAGCCACAGAGAGTAGGAGGGAGGTTTAGGTTTCCCAGGCAATGGAAGAAGCCAAACTTTCCGCCTGCCCTAGCAGGCCTAAGCCTCCACTCATGGCTATTTTTCAATTATAAAAGGTAAACAAATCCAAACAGAAATGGCAGTAGCCATGGAGCAAGCGGAAGGCTTGGCTCCGTCCAGGCTACAAAGTTTCAATTGTAGAAGGTAGATAAATTCCAGATACCAGGGCCTTTACTTGGGTCACCAAGGGGCGTGGCTGGCCTGCAAACCACCATAGGTCCCTCGCTCAGGCTGTCCCACACCCCAAGGGAACCCCCACCCTGATTCAGGACACCTTTCAGTGCAAACCAGCTGGCCCCCACCCATGCACCAGGACTCTATCCTATCTAATAAAAGGGTAATATGCAGATTGACTATCACTCCAACACACAAGATGGCTGCCCCCCTGTGGTCATAGATCCTGCCCCTATGTGGACACAAGATGGCCAGCAGGGGAGGGCAGTTGGGAGGCACCAGGCCTGCAAGGGAGGGCAGTTGAGAGGGATCAGGCAAGCAGGGGAGGGCAGTTGGAGGTGATCAACCCTGCAAGGGAGGGCAATTAGGGGTGACCAGGCTGGCAGGCAGAAGCAGTTAGGGGCAATCAGGAAGGCAGGCAGGCGAGCAGTTGGGAGCCAGCAGTCCTTGATTGTGAGAGGGATGTCCGACTGCCTGTTTAGACCCGATCGGACATCCCTCGAGGGGTCCCAGATTGGAGAGGGTGCAGATTGGGCTGAGGGACACCTCTCCTCCATGCACAGATTTCATGCACAGGGCCTCTAGTTGACTATAACTGGAGATTTATTATATTTTAATACAAATGACTTATAGGGCAAGCTCTAGGAGACAGCTGAGATTCAGCCCTTTGACTAGAATGTGACGGGGCTCCGTGATGCTAAACAGAGATCTTTAAAAACAGGGAATCGTTTTTAAAGAGGATGCGATTTGGAGATAAAACTGCATTTAGCATCTTTGGCCCCTCATGCCTCTGCAGAGAATCATGAAAAACTAGAGGAATTTTATTTACCAACTCATTAGATATTATTGTACAATCTTCACATCTCAAGGACGATTTAACTGTCAAGCATCAGCATGCTTAATCCAATTTTAAAAATCAACACTAGAGTCAGAAGGGTGGAGAAACCAAGATGGCGGCATGGGTAAATGCCTAACTGCAGCCTCGCACAACAATTTCAAAAAATGCATCTAAAACACAAAATGGACATTATCTAGAACTACAGGAAAGTTGACTGACTGGAAATTCTACAACTAAAAGGAAAAAGAAAACCAGAAGGAAAATCAAAGGAGCTGTAAAAGCCTAAGGTACAGAGACACGGTTTGTGCATGGGGTGAGTACTGAGCCAGAGAGGAGGGGGTGGCTAAGTTCCTGCCTGGCGTTCCCTAGCGGGAAGGAGTTAAAAGCTCCGGACTCTGCTTAGCTCCAGTTTCGACTGCACTGAACCCCAGTTCTAGACCAGACCCTGGGGACCCAGGCTCATATGGAGGGAATCTGGGCTGTAAGGCGGAAACTCAGGGGAAGTGGGGAAAAGGCAGAGTCCCTGAGGTGCGCACTTTACTCGCAGAGGACGGACTGTTGACTGTGCCACTGGTTTGCCCTAGCAGGAAGGAGACAAAAGCTCCAGACTGCACTGAACCCCACTTCCAATTGCACTGAACCCCAGTTCTGGGCTCATTGCGGGAGAGACTAGACTGTCTGGTAGCGGGTGAAACTCGAGGGCACCTTTCTCTCAGAGGTGCTTGCAGTGAGTACCAAAGGACACTGAGGAACACTGAGACTTAGGAATCTCATAGGGCGGAGCCTGATGGAAAGCCAAGGCTGTAGGCTCCACCCTGAAACTCCACCCCATCCAAGCAGAGCACAGAGTCTTTTGCAATTTTCCAAGTCTAGTCAGATAAGGCTGTCTTCTGTCATAGACACAGCTAGTCCTCACAGCCAATTCAGGGAAGCTGTGAAAATGCTGAGACAAGGAAACAGATCACAAACAAAAGAATGAAGGACAACAAGCAACTGGATATAGAGTTCAAAACCACGGTTATAAGGTTTTTCAAGAATTTCCTAGAAAAGGCCGATAAAATAAACGAGATCTATGAGGATATGATAAAGGATCAACTAGAATTAAAAGGGATCAACTAGAAATAAAGAATACATTGTCTGAAAATAAAAAATAAAAATTTATACAGAGTCCTAAAAACAGAATGGAAGATCACAAGAATCAAGTCAAAGATTTGAAACATAAAGAGCCAGAAGACACTCCTCTGCAGAAGCAAGAAGACAAGAGAATCCAGAAAGTTGAAGATAATGTAAGAAACCTCTGGGAAAATTTCAAACAAACCAACATCAGAATTATGGGGGTCCCAGAAGATGAGAGAGAGCAAGATACCGAAAGAATACTGGAAGAAATAGTGACAGAAAACTTCCCCCACCTGGTGACAGAATTTTAGACTTTTAGTCCAGGAAGCGCACAGAACCCCAAACAAAAGGAACCCAAAGAGGACCACACCAAGACATATAATAATTAAAATTCCAAGAGCAAAAGACAAAGAGAGAATATTAAAAGCAGCAAGAGCAAAGCAGGTAGTTACCTATAAATGAGCACCCATACGACTGTCAGCTGATTTCTCTACAGAAACCATGTAGGCCAGACAGGAAGGGCAAGAAATAGTCAAGGTTATGAATAACCTACAGCCACAAACACTCTACCGAGCAAAGTTATCACTCAAAATCGAAGGCCAGATAAAAAGCTTCACAAATTAAAAAAAGCTAAAGGAGTTCATCACCTCCAAACCAGAATTATATGAATTGCTGAAGGGGGTTCTTTAGGAAGAGGAAGTAAATAAAGATAAAAATTATGAACAACAAATACATAACTATCAACAAGTGAATCTAAAAACCAAGGGAAGTAAAAAACATGATGAACAATATTAAATGGTGAATATAATAGAATCAGAGGTATGGAAGGGGAGTGGACTGATGATTCTTGGGCGAAAAAGGGAGTGGGGGTGTGGGAAGAGACTGAACATAAACTGTGCACCTATGGATGAGGACAATGGGGAGTGGGGAAAGGGCAGAGGGTGGGGTAGGAAGCTGGTGGAGGGGAGCAATGGAGTGGAAAAAATGAGGAACATTTGTAATAAATATTTATTTTAAAAAATAAAAAATACAAATGACTTATAAATTCAATTTCATTACTGAAAAGCTCCCATCTTTTGAGTTTTTGTACAATTTGTAAAACTATTTTGAAAGCAGAGTAAGTCACAGAATGAAAATTCAGGGTATAGTAAATACAGGTTATTTTTTTAAAAACTGCCACAACTGGGCTATTTCATTGCCATTTAAAAAATATGTTTTTAATTATTTT